ACTTTCTCACCCCGTCCCTGCCCCACGCCAGGCCCCTGCTTCTCCCTGACACCTGGCATTTGCTCATTACAGTGGAGTGACTCAGACACGAGCATCTGGGCACCTTCCACGCTCCAGGCACTGTTCTAGGTGCCGCAGAGGCGAGCGAGACAGGTACGATCCCCCCTGGGGCCCTAGTGGGGAGACACAGTAGAGACGGAAGCTGGAGCATCTCGGGCAGTGGCGGGTACTTTGCAGAGAAAAGGGATGGAGGCTGTAGGCGGCTGGTGTGAGTGGGAATGGGGTGCCAGGAAAGGCCACGTAGAAAGAGGGACATTTGAGCAGGGACCTGAAGGAGGGGAGGTTCTCAAGCCCATGCGACATTTGACAACGTCTGGAGAGGTGTTGGTTGTCGCAACCGGGGGAGAGGGTACCACCACATCCAGTGGGCAGAGGCCCCGGCACGGAGAGCCATCCAGCCCGAGTGCCCACAGTGCCCAGGCTGAGAGATGCTGCTTTAGGGAAAGGGCATTCTAGAAAGAAGGAACAGCATGTGTGAGAGCCCCGAGGCAGGGAACAGCAAAAATGTCCACGTGACCTGGGCAGAAGGAACAGGGGAAACTGAGGCAGCAGGGTCCCAGCTGGGCGGGGCCTGCAGGACACAGAGCAGCCTCCGAGGCTCGACTCGTGCTGGTCGAGCTGGGACGTCTTCAGCAGAGAAGCGACATTTTCATAGCATCTTCCCGTCGGTACCATGAGCCTGGGCACAGGACGGCCAGGGAGCAGGCCGTGGGGCGCCCAGGCGAGAGACGCGGGCTGGACTGGGGAGTTGGGGGCGTCGAGGAGGAAGGAGAGAGAAGTGGCGGGTCCTGGGTGGGTGGCAGTTACGTGAGTCTGGGGTTCAGGGGAGGGGGACGGAAGTGGGAGTTAACGTGCAGGTGACGCGTCAAGCCGTGCACATCTGTTTTAGTTCACGGACGACAGGACGTCCTTGCTGCGGCCCGCTCGCTCCTGGTGGGAAAGGGAGGTGGCAGGTTCAGGGACTGTCCCTGAGAACACACAGATCTGACGCTCGCCGGCCGCTGCTCCCGGGCCTGGCACTTCTTCACCACGACCTACGTCAGCATCATTCCTAGCAGCAAGAGGTGGCTTCACCTCTCTGCCTCAGTTTGCTCATCTGGAAAGTGGGGATAAGTACCTGCCTTACGTAGAGTTGTCGAGTTGTCGTGAGCCCTTAATAACAACGGAAAGCTCTTGAACACCTTGAGCATGTATATTGATAGGTTAGCTGCTGTTATTGTTAACATTATTTTAAACTTTGGAGCTCACTGTGCGAATGGCAGTTTGCTAAGTACCTTACGTGGACTTATTTAACTATCTGGTTAACCCCACGATGCTGCCTGGACATTCCCACGTTCCCCATTTGAGGCTCTGAGACGTGCTGGGCCCGCAGCCCCTCCCGCCATGAGACCCTGCGCCGCGCTCTCTGATACGGGAAGTGTCAGGTTTGCGACCCTGTCACAGATGAGGACACTGAGGCTCCGAGAGTCGTGGTGGGGGGAGGGGAGGTTCGGGTGTGGGTCTGGCAGGTCCCTGTGGAGGCAGAGTCAGGACAGCTGGGCTTCTGGGGCATCTGCACAGACCTTCCAGGAGTCGGGGCCAGCACTGGGGGGACCATGTCCCCCCAGCCAGGTCCCGCAGGTTGGGCATCTGCCTCGTTGCTGCCGGTGGGAGAACAGGCCTCTTTCGTGGGATTAATTTGTTCTCTGAACACACAGGGCAGGCTCTCGAGGGGGTTTCTTCCTTCCTACCTCCCAGGACGTTGGCCTCTGCTCTTCCCTGTCGGCCCCAGGCTGCAGGGTCTGGATGTCTGGGCCCTGGGCCTGGCTCCTGGCACAGGCTCAGGATGGACCAGAGGGGCAGCAAAGCCCTGCCCGTGGCCACTTCCCTTTAAACTGTACGACAACCCTGTGAGGTTCCTTTTTCCAGGAGGGGCAGACTGAGGCTCAGAATGGGCAAAGTCACTTGTCTCAGGTGGCAGGACAGGGTAGAAGCCAAGTCTGAGTCCAGAGGCTGTGCCCACCTCACAGATGAGAACACTGAGGCCGAGGAAGGGTTAGCAGTAGCCCAGACCCCCTTCAGCCAGTGCAGGCCAGAGAGGGCGTGGGGTCTCACGAACCGACCGTGGTGTGGCAGCGGCTCTTCTCCCTTCTCCCAAGTTCCCTCTCAAGCTCCACGCCGTCCCGTTCTCAGACTGGGATCTGGGCTTTGCAAACAGATCCCGATCAGCCGAGGAGACCAGGGCAGCAGGGCGTCGGGGGTAAGCGTGTGGCTGCGCTGTGCCCAGTTCCAATCTGACTCCCACACCGCGGCTGGGTGAGCTGGGCGGGTCACCCAACCTCTCTGTGCTGACCCTTTCGTGTTGGGAACAATTGGGGCCCTCCTAGGGTGTTACCCGGGGAAACAAGATTGCACAGGCCACGTCATTTGCACGGTTATTATGAGCTGTTATTGTCATCTGATAGTGGTTTTGTAGAATTGGATCGTCTCCCCCGGTAACCTTGACTCATCTGGGGCCCTGGTCTCTCTGTTCTGTCTCCTCTGGTCGCTAATGAGGAGAAGGGGGAGGACAGTGGCCGTGGGTGTGGTGTGTGTAGAAAAGAGTGCATGTCACATGGGGAGGGACTTTCTTCCTTGCCCCCCTCCCCCTAAGTGTGCTTAACCGTCATCCTGACTTCTAGCTACATTTGTTCATGTTGGCACTTTTGTTTATTGGAGACAGAGTCTCACTCCGTCACCCCAGGTAGAAAGCAGTGGCATTATCATAGCTCACTGCCACCTCAGACTCTTGGGCTTAGGCGATCCTCCTGCCTCAGCCACCCCAGTAGCTGGGACTACAGGCTCATGCCATCATGCCTGGCTAAGTTTTCTATTTTTAGTAGAGACAGGGTCTCACTCTTGCTCAGGCTGGTCTTGAACTCCTGAGCTCAAGCGATCCTCCTTTCTCAGCCTCCCAGAGTGCTAGGATCACAGGCATGAGCCACCGTGCCTGGCCTGTGTTGCCATTTCTTGTTCTTTATATAAATGGAGTCATAGTGCAGTGGCCCTTTTCTGTTGTTTGTTTGTTTTTTTTTTTTTTTAACAAACTTATTAGAAATTTTTAACAGCTTTTTAGGGATGTAATTCACATATTATGCAGTTTGTGGTCCATTTTGGAACACTACAGAAAGACACCCCGTACCCATTAGCCGTCACCCGTGTCCCCAGCCCCTGGAAACCACAGCTCCATTCTCTGTCTCTGTGGGTGTCTCTCCGCATGGCCTTGTGTGTCTGGCTTCTGTCACTCTGCATGATGTGTTCAAGGTCTATCTGTGCTGTGGCATGGATCAGAGCTTCATTCCTTTTTATGGCCAAAATGTATTCTGTTATTTTTTACGGCCAAAAAACACCCCATCTCTCTGGGCCGGCTGTCCCGAGTGTGTCCCCTTCCTCAGAACTGGGCTCTCGTGAATCCAAAATGGTGGCGTGCCCTGACGCCGGCTCCTGACTGTGGCCAGACTCCGGGGTGGGAGGGGCAGGAGCCTGCCCAGGAGGACGGGAGAGAACACACAGGGACCTGGGGATGGGGCCACGTCCTGCTTATGCCTGTCCGGGCCTCAGCCTGCCCATCTGTAAGGTGGAGGCAGGATGGGCCAGCGAGGTGTTCATGGAACCTTCCAGCTGGCACTCACTCCCCTCCCAGCACAGGTTCTGACTGTCCCACCCGTCGTGTCCCACCCTGGACAGTCTCATTCCTGGTAGCTGACGTCCTTCCGCCCTCCCCACCTGGACATGCTTCCTTGGTTCCCGGGATTGCCAGCCTGTGCCCTGGGTCCTTTCCAAGGCCACCGGCCACGGCAGTCCACAGAGCAGAGGAAAACGTGAGCAGGGAGCAGAGGACACGGCACGGCCTCCTGCGGCAGGTCGGGGGGTAGGGCAGGGGCCGAGGGTCACCAGCTCCCCCGCTGCCCAGCTGCAGCCTGGGGACCCAGCAGCACCTGTGCCAGCTGCAGGGCGCCCTTGTCTGAACTTGACCCCCCCTTGCCCCAAGCCAGGAGCTTTTTTTTTTTTTTTTTTTTTTTTATGTAACAGCTTTACTGAAATTCACATACCACACAACCGACCCATTAAAATGTGCAATTCGGTGCCCTTTAGTATATTTTGCAGAGTTACGCATCCAACACCACAAATAATTTTAGGACATTTTCATCACCCCAGAAGGAAACTCGCACCCTCAGCCAGCACCCCCGTTCCCGCTGCCGCAGCCCCTGACAGCCACAGTCTCCCTTCCGTGTCTGGCTTTACCGAATTCACGTAAACGGAATCGCTCGTTACGTGACCGTCTGCGTCTGGTGGCTTCGTTCAGCGCAGTGTTGGAGGTCTACCTGTGCTGTGGCAGGTGGCAGTACTGCAGTCCTTTTCCTGGCTAAAGACCATTCCACTGGGCACGCCATGTTGTATGTGTCCAGTTATTGGCTGACGTTGGAGTCGTTTCTGCCTTACGGCTGTCGTGATAAACGCTGCTACTTACAAAACGTGTGTGTGGGTTTTCATGTACTTGGGAGCGGAATTGCTGGGTGATGTATTTACTCTACGTTGGCCTTTGAGGACCTGCCGGACTGTGTCCCAGCGCTCTGGGCCAGCATCAGAGCGGCCAAAGCAGAGCTCCCCCAGCTGGGATCGGAGCCCCCAGGGTGGGGTGCAAATCCCGTGTGTCGACATTTTCCCGGAGATGAACGTCTCACACGTCTCCTGGATTCTCAAAAGCATCTTGAGCCTCCAAGTCTTCCCCGCTGTCGCCGGGCTGGAGGTTAGAGGAGGGGACGGGTGAATGGGGCGTATCCCGGCTCTGTCTCTAACGCCCACCGGGTCTTGTGAGGCCTGCGGAGGATCAAAAGTACAGCTCGATAGGTGACGAAAGTGCCCGCTGACATCTCTCTCTTCTCGTTCTTTTCTCGGTGTTTCTCGTCCTCGGAAACCAGCAAGGAGAACTTCAACAACGTCCCCGACCTGGAGCTCAACCCGATCCGATCCAAAATCGTTCGTGCCTTCTTTGACAACAGGTGGGCTCTTCTCGCTGACCTGCGGGTGGCAGGCGCCTTTGTCCTGCGTAACACTGCACAGTACTGACGTGCGCAGGACGGTCCTTTACGCTGATGCAGATAAGAGGGGCCGGGCCGGGTGGGGCTTATGGGGTTGGGGGCCGGGCAGTCGTGGATTCATAGCTGGGTGACTTTGGGCAGCTCCCTCGGGCTCTCTAGGCCTCTGTGTTAGTTATCTGCGTGGGAAATGACCCCCAAGCTTAGTTTGAAACAACAAACATTTACAATAAACAATAGTTTATTTGCAATAAACATTATCCCACCCTTTCTGTCAGTCAGGGACCCAGGTGCAAAGTAGCTGAGTGGGGGAGGTTCTCGGGCTCAGGGGCTCCGGGGCTCCGGCAGACTTCAGCCAAGGTGTCAGCTGGGGCTGAGGTCTCAGCTCAAGGCTCAGCTGGGGCAGGCTGTGCTTCCAGGCTCACTCTGGTGGCCGTGGCTGGTGACATCTTCTGGACCTCTCCACAGAGCTGCTCACGGCACCGCAGCTGGCATCCTCCAGAGCGAGGTGTCTGAACAGAACCCTGGGGTGGGGGGCGACCCAGTGGAAGCCACCATCTTTTTATAACTGAATCTTGGAAGTGATACCTTGTCCCTTTTGCTGTGTCTCTTCATTAGGAGTGAGTCAGTAAAGCTGGGAGGTGGCTCACGCCTGTAATCCTAGCACTCTGGGACACCGAGGATGGGGGATTGCTTGAAGCCAGGAGTTTGAGACTAGCCAGAGCAAGAGCGAGACTTCGCCTCTATAAAAAATAGAAAAAAATTAGCCGGGCGTGGTGGCGCACGCCTATGGTCCCAGCTGCTCAGGAGGCTGAGCCAGGAGGATTGCTTGAGCCCAGGAGCTGGAGGTTGCAGTGAGCTATGATGATGCCACTGCACTCTAGTCTGGACAACAGAGCGAGACCCTGCCTCCGAAACAAAGAAGTGAGTCACTAGGTCACCCCCCTCTTGGCAAGGAGGCAACACAGGAGTGTGACCCCCAGGAGGCGGCGGTTATTGGGGCCATCTTGGAGGGTGACAGCACCTGCCTCACCAGGCTGCTGGGAGCGTTCGCTGAGGGGTGCGTGCGTGGTAAAGTGCGAGGTGGCCATTGAGTTCACCGCCACGACTTACAAAGAGGCGGCGCACCTTGGCCAGCATCCCATTGGCTGTGGTGACAATACCAACGACCCTGCCTCCCGGGGACGCTGGGCCAGCCGGGAGGGAGCGTGGTCAAGTTGAACAGGGACATAAGGGAACTTCTGGGGTGGAGGAGGGGATTTCACAGGGACATATGTTTGTCCAAACACACGGTCTGTGCATTTTGTGGGATGTAATTTTTCCTTTAACAAAACCTGACCCTCCGTCTCTTGGCTGTCGGCTGTCACCTGTGGGAACTTGGATTCCGACTCAGGTCCGTCTGCCCCGGACAGACCAGGGATTGTGAGTTCAGCTCTCAGGGTGGGATCGGGTGTCTGCTGTGCTGTCCTCCATGAGCTGCTGCTCTTGAGGGGACGAAGTGTGGGAAAAGGGGCCTGAGACTCTTTGGGAACAGGTCTCGGGGGCATTTTGAGCAGGATCCGTGCCCACCTCCAGGGGCTCCCTCCCTTACAGGGTAACTGGCAAGGTAAGGAAGCAGAAAGTTGACTGAAAAGCAGGCACTGTTGCACAGAGAACGAAAGCTGCCTGTTGTCCCGCTGGGTCGCAGCTTAGGGTGCAGCGCCTGACTCCCAGCCTCTGATCTCGGCCTGGGTGCCCGTTTGAGAACTGGGAGTGGACAGCAGGTGTGTCTGGCTCCAGGCGCTTTGTCTGGGTTTCCAGACACGATGTTGGCCTGTGTGGACCTCCCAGGGACACGCGGAGGGGGAGAGACCCTCTTCCCCTGAATCGGCTCCCGATACTGAAGCAGCCCAGGTGTCGACCCTCCCTGACAAGGACACGTGTGTGCTCTGCCTTCCCTGGAGGCTATCACGTTCCCCCCCACCCCGCCCCCACGCTAATCTCGGTCCTCCCTGCCACAGCCTAAACCACTTGGGAAGGACACATGAGCCAACCGCAGGGACAAGTGCCTGCAGAGGAGCCCGATAAGCCCGGGGGCTATTTTTATGCTCTGCAAACTTGGTCTGTGCCACCGATGGCAAGAGCTTCGACACAGGTCTGTCGGGAGGAGCGGCAGGAGCTTCGCAGGATAGAATAGCAAAGGGGACGCCAGTGCAAATGCACCGAGACTGGGCTTCCTGGGTCCTGGGAAGGATCTTGTGTCACCCTGCAGATTGGGAGTCTCACGATCCACCTTCCCTAACCCACATTTGGGATCCCCCACTTTCTGAAAATCTACGAACCGTGAAGTGCAGTGGACGCTGCCAGCGGTATTTGTCGGGCACCGAAAGGGCGTGCACGGACCGCTAAAGAGAGAATTGCAGACACTCCTTTGTGCCGGGGCACAGCTGTGTCCTGCGTGGGACCCAAGTAAGATATCCACGCACCAGCCGTTAACTTAGTTGTCTCGGGACGCCCACAGTGCGGGGCCTCGGCACCCACAGCCTGCCAGCCCGATGGCAGCCTGTCCCCACGGCCATCAGACTCTCAGGGTCAAAGTCGTTAGTGATGAGGGTTTGGTGACGGTGCGTCAGGAGCTAGTATTTGGAGCGACCTCCCAGTGGTCTCCTCAACAGCTGCGTTTCTCTGCCGGGACCGAGCCGACGGCGTGTCGGCCCACCGGGCTCCCGCTCTGCGCCAGGCCCCATGCCGGGCGTGGGGCACACCTGGCGTGGCACACGCTCCCGGCGCCCCCTCTGGAAAGCAACTGAGAGGGACAACCTCCAGTCTGCCCCGATTGATTACAGAACTTTCAATTATTAACGCATCGTGTACTCGGGCAGTAAACAAAACACTCAGAGCTGCTTACAGCCGATCACTGGACTGAAATTTTGAAGCACTGATAGAGCAGGGCTTGACTGACGTTTTCGGTAAAAAGGCAAGAGAGGAGATGTTTAGGTTTCTCGGGTCACGTGGTCTCTGCTGAGCTGCGATACTCTGCCGCCATAGCGCGAAAGCACACGATGCGAAATGAGCATGCGTGGCTGTGTTCCAATAAAACTTCACTGATGGACACTGAAATTCGAATTTCGTGTAATTTTCACTTGTGAAATACTATTTATTCTTTTGATTTTTTTTTTTTTGGCAAATATTTTTCAACCATTTAATAACGTGAAAACTCTTTTTAGTTCATGGGCTGTATAAAAACAAGTGACAGGCCGGATTTGGCCCATGGGCCATAGCTGCCAACCCCTGAGCTTAAAGGATCAGGTGATGTGTACTTGGGTGAGTTACTGGATTATTTAGTGCCTCAGTTTCCCCATATGTGAGTGGTCACGCACCCATGTGTTCCTCCGTCCCAGCCTGAACCGACACTTATGCAATTGTCTGTCTCCTCCTAACCCCGCCGCCCCCCGACAGTGAGCGCTGTGAGGGCAGAGCAGGGCCGGGCTTAAAGCTCGTGGGGCCCCCAGTGTCCCCCACAGAGCAGGTTCTTGGGGAACAGGACTGAAGGCAAGAGCAGCCGTCGTGGGTGAAGCGTGGGCCCGGGAGGGCTGAGTTCTCACGAGCTGTCGGCAGCGAGGGGATGGGCTCCGGTTCTTCATCCGTTTCCGACACCCTCCTCGTTGCTCCCCTAGGAACCTGCGCAAGGGTCCCACCGGCCTGGCGGACGAGATCAACTTCGAGGACTTCCTGACCATCATGTCCTACTTCCGGCCCATCGACACCACCATGGGGGAGGAGCAGGTGGAGCTGTCCCGGAAGGAGAAGCTGAGATGTGCGTGTCCCGGGTCCCTGCGGGGTGCCCTGGCAGCCATGCGTGGGAGGGGGCAGTAGGAGGGGTCGGGGACACCAGCCCGCACCCCCCGCGAGGCTGCAGGGGCGTCTGTCCCCGTCTCGGACGAGCCTCAGCAGGGTGCGGTTTCCTGAGACTAGGAGGGGCCCGAGGGGTGGCTGGAAGAACGAGGCCCTTGGTTCCAGCAGCCCCGGGTTCGGGTTCAGCCCCCGCACCCAGCCATGTGACCTGGAACGCGGAAATGCCGATCATGGCTCGGGTCGCACAGACCTGTGGCATGCAGGGCGCGCTCAGGGCTGTGCTGTGGCCGGGTTCGTGGGCCCGGCCTCCACCGTGTCCTGGCTCTGGGGTGGGTTGTAGCTGTGGTCCTGGCCAGCCGTCAGCACAGGGTCCCAGTGGTGGCCCAAGTGGCATCTCCTCCCTCCTCCGTGGACTCTCCCGTGACTCCGACACCCCTGCTCGCCCCACGCGGGTGGAGGCTGGGCCTTCTCATCAGGGGACCGTAAACGTGCTCCTGGCTACGTTCGGCTCCGGGACGTGCACGGGGGGGCTGGAGGGAACAGCCCGGGCAGCTGTTCCAAGGCCCTGGTTTCTCAGCCATTGTCGGGGCGTCCAGGCAAACGCCTTAGCTCCCGTGAGCTTCGACAGCCCGTCTGGGAAGGAGTCCCCGGTCTCCCAGGGTGGTGTGAGGATGAGGGGGAAAGGACTGTGGCGCGCCCTGCATGCCCGGGCGTCTGGTCCGCGCTCGACAAATGCCAAGGCGGAGGGTTGGGAGAGCTCCAGCTCCTGAGGTCACCTCCCCTCTGGCTCCTGGCCACCAGTTGCTGACAGCACGGCAGTGAGCGTGAAGGAGCCAGAGGAGATGCTAATGCCGGGCCGGGGCATGGGCATCAAAGTGTGACCTGTCCTGGGCAGCGATGGTGGCACCCACTGGGTCTGTCTGGAGTGACATTTTGAAGTAGCACCCATTTGGCTGTTAATGACGCTTACTGGTCACATCCACGCTCACGGTGTACCAGGCCATTGCTGGGCCCTATCTCCACCCGCTCTAGCTCCCAGCCCTTGCAAGACCACGAGGGTTTTAAACATGGTGGTTATTCCCATTTCGAAGATGGGGAAACTGAGGCTCAGAAGTTAGGTCACTTGTCCAAGGTCATGTGCTAGGAAGTGGTGTGTCTGGCCCCACGGCTGTGCCCCTGACCCCATGGCTTTGGCATTGAGGTTTCGTTACTGGTAGTTTTCGCTCAGATTAGTGTAGATGTCAGGGTGGGGAAGCAGGGCCCTGGCCTCGCCTGACCGAGCCTCCCTCTCTCCCCGGCCGCCCCAGTTCTGTTCCACATGTACGACTCGGACAGCGACGGCCGCATCACCCTGGAAGAATATCGAAATGTAAAGTATGCTCCTCCGCCCCACCCTGGGCTCCTGGTGCCTGCCCCGCCCTGCGACCCTGATGGAAGCCTGAGGTCACCCTTTGTGTCTGCCCCGCCCGCCAGGTAGTCGAGGAGCTGCTCTCAGGGAACCCCCACATCGAGAAGGAGTCCGCCCGCTCCATCGCCGACGGGGCCATGATGGAGGCGGCCAGCGTGTGCGTGGGGCAGATGGTGAGTGGCCCCCGCTGGCTGTTTCTGGAAGGCCCCCGAGGGCAGGGCCAGATGCGTCCTGCTCCCTGCTCTAACAGGGGCCCGTGGAGCCCAGAAACCTCTCCTGGTTTTTCCTGTCCCCCCGGAGACCATAGGCCCCAGCCCCCGAGAGCTGGGTGACACCAGAAGCAGGGCTGAAGGCCTCCAGGCTTTGGGGTCCAGGAGCCCCCACTGTGCAGCCTCCCGGGCCCCGTCAGCGCTCACGGGCAGCACCTGGCGCCGGGCCTGGCCAGCAGACAGTGCAGGCTCCAGTTAATTAGCTCATTTCTTACCAGTGACTCAGAGGCAGCATTCGGCCCTGGGGCCAGGATGAGCAGGGAGCAGGGAGTTCTTCTGGGCTGGGGAGAACTCCAGTCTAGGGCCTGGTCGAGGCACTGAGGTGGGGGTTGCATGTAAATGAGACAGGAGAGAGGGGCTTAGTCCTCTCTTGTACATCGTTTCGTAAATTTTAGCCTCAGTTTTATAGGTGGGGAAACTGAGGCACAGAGAACATAAAGAATTTTCTGGACCTGATCTTTCCTGTGCTGGGTGGACTCCTTCTTGTATAGCTGGGTGCAGCCCTGCCAGGCCCCCACCCAGTGACTCTAAGCCCTGGGGACCACTCAGGTGGGCAGGTGAGCATCTCGATGTCAGCTTTGTCCCCCAAGGGCTAGGTGGCCCCTCTGCCGCTCGTGTGTTCGAAGTGGCCGCGTCTCTAGACACCTGTGTGGCTTTGTGTTCACCGCAGCCGGGGCAGAGGGGTGTTTTCATGCCAGATCCTGCTCTCTGTGCCCCAAGCCTGTCGTTGGGGGACACTATAGGCCACCCGCCCAGGCCTGCCCCTGGGGGCTGGGTCTGCGGTCATGCCCTTGGCATGTATTTTATCTGTCTGCTCCTCCAGCCGCAGGGTGGGGGGAGGCCTCTGGCTTTGGTGAAACCACCCACTCAGCAAAGTAGCCGCCGCAGGAGGGCTGGAGACCTCGGTGGGGAGAGCAGGGATCTCCCGCGGGGTTGCTGGGCCACGTTCCCATTTGATTTAATTACACTCCCCTCCTTCAAATTGCTCCCTGTCCCACTCCAGTTTCAATTGGTGGCAGTTTTCGTAATTTGCTGTAGTAAAATTGTTGGCAGCTGGCAGCTGCTGATCTGCATAAAATGCCCGCAGCCTCCCGAGCGTCTGGGGGAGCCCGGCCTCCCGCCGTGGGTCCTGCTGCCCCCGGGCCCTGGAGCCGGGAGGGAAGGCAGCGCCACCCCGAGCGCTCACCTGCCCGCCTGCCTTTATCGTGTGTTTTCTGGTGCAAACGTCGCCCAGATCGGCGCAGACCCAGCCCCCAGCCGTGTGCGCAGCCCGGGCTGCAGCCGTGGCGGTTCCGTACCATCGGGCCTCTGAGGACGCTCAGCACCTCTGACCGCGCTGCCAGAGACAAACGACCCATCGTCCCCACTGTAATGGACTTGCAAAGGCAGTTATCGACTGGGGCCGCCGTTTGTCTTCGGGTGCTTTCTCTGGGGGCCGCGCTCTGTGGGCACGATTGGGGGTGGCTCGAGGATGGGGCCTCCTTGCTGGGGTTCCAGCCCCAGAAGCTTCTCCTGCCCCCCCACCCCGCCCTCCATCCTCCAGCCCCTGTCTCTGGCCGGAGGTTGGGGGCCTTGTCTGTAATTAGGTTCCCCAGCCTTGGGGACTGGGCTGGCCTGGCAAGGGGGAGGACAGCCACTTCTCTCTGTGCTCACCAGTGGGAACAGAGGGAGGAAGAGAACCCTTAGGGACAGTGGTGGCCTACGCCAGCTGAGAGCTGGTGTTTTTTATAGAATTCTCTTAGAAAGTGCAAAAAGAGGGTGCAAAGTCCTGCCACCAGAAACAGCCCTCACTGACTTGGAGCCAGCTCGATGGTCCTGCTAGACCGGCACCCCCCCTCTGGGGCCCCGCAGTGGCCTCATCTGCAAAATGGGAGTGAGAACAGAGCCTGCCTCGTGGCCGGTCGTGAGGTTGGCATCAGACAGTATTAAATGTTAACAACTGACCAGCCTGAGCAAGAGCGAGACCCCAGCTCTAAAAACAATAAGGAAAATTAGCCAGGCGTGGTGTCACGAGCCTGTAGTCCCAGCTACTCGGGAGGCTGAGGCAGGAGGATCACTTGAGCCCAGGAGTTTGAGGTTGCTGTGAGCTATGATGATGCCACTGTACTCTAGCCCAGACGACAGAGCAAGATCCTGTCTCCAAAAAAAAAAGAAAAAAAAGGTAACAGCATCTGGAAAGCACTGAGACGTGCCTGGCTCATAGCGAGCGCCGAGAGGGGCCCACTGTTGTCTCCTCAAATGCACGTCCTCGAATCGCAGGCCCAGAGTGCGCCCCGAGCGCTCCTGCCGTCCTCCCTCCAGCCCTGGTTTGCTTCCCTGAAGGGAACCGCCCTTGGTGGGGTTTTTCCCTCCATGTGCTAGCGTACACAGGTTCATCTTTTATTTTTGATTTATGCAAAATGGGATCAGACTGAGGTGGCTTTTCTTCATCTCCGTACAACCCCCACGTGTCCACAGGCAGACGGCAGGGGGCTGGTCATCGGTCTGGGAGAACGTTTGCACACACAGGATCTGCAGACATCTTTGCTCCCTGTCGGATGTTTTGTTTGTTTCTTTTTCCGCTGTGTACACATCTCGGAGCCTTTTCCATAGCAACATATGTAGATCGACCCCTCCTCAAAGGCTGCGTGTAGTCAGTGGTGCGGACGGCCAAGGTTGTGCGGCTGGCTGAACGCTTGGGATGTCACAGAGGGTGCTGCGGGGTGAGGTATTTGAAGACTCGGTCGTAGGATCCTGAGCGTGTCAGTGAAAGGGACAGGGGCCCCTCAAACGGTCCCCCATGTCCCCTGAGCAGGAAGCACACAGGTGGAGACTGTCACCATTAAATGCATACAACAGGGGGAGGCTCCTGGCACAGAGGAAGTGGCCTCGTGGTGGCCAAGCTCTGGCCCCACCTTCCTGGCAGCCAGAGGCTGTCACGGTGACTCATGGGGCCCCAGGGGTGGACCACACAGGCCCTTTATCCACTTGCCCCTTTCCCTAGTGACCCGGGAGCTCGGATCAGCCTGGAACAGTTCTTATCGGTGCAGGGCCTGGGGGTGGCAGGAGTCGTCTTCGGTGGCCCGGCTGTCGGGAGGGAGAGCCCTGTGCCTCTGTCCCCCACTTCAGATTCTCCCTGGGGGGCCTGGGGATAGGGAGGGGCCCTGGAGAGCCGATACAGGTCTCCCACCCACCCTCAAGCCGGTACTGGCCTCATGCTGGCGGCGAATGATCCAGAATGTTCCCCCTTTGTCGCGATTCCACCTAAACAGCCCCGGCCATTTGTGTGTTCCGGGTGTGGGGGCGAGGACCTGGCCGCTCACTCTCTGCCGTGTGCTCTCGCCCGCAGGAGCCTGACCAGGTGTACGAGGGGATCACCTTCGAGGACTTCCTGAAGGTGGGTGTGGGGGCCTGAGTGCGGGGCTGGGGGAGCCTCGGCACCCCAGGGAGCCCGCCGGTCAGGAGGAGACGTGGCTCGTTTCCCGCGGCGAGGGACGAGCTGCCCGTGTGACCGGCACTCGGTGGGAAGGGTCAGCCTGGGCGTGGCCTTTGAGAACCCTTTGAGCTGGTTTCCCCTCTGTATGGAAAGGGTCACATTCACGTGGGGTCGGAACAGTTGAAGCAGCACGAAAGGGAACACAAGGGAAAATCTATTCCTCTCCCACCTGGGATCCCGCTGTCCCTTCTTAGAGGTCATCCCTGAGGACAGTTGGAACAGAGAGTCCAGAAACCTTCCACATCTGTGCACCTGGCAGCGTTTTCCAGGGGCAGCAAGGTGGCCGAGTGCGCCTGTGCCCCGAGCGGGCCGAGACCTCGGGGTGGGCTGAGGTCCAGCTGGGCTTGCTCCTGGAGTCTGCTCCGCTGAGCTGGCCGGTCACCTGCCGACAGTCGGACGTGGCACGGGAGGAGAGGCAGGCTGCACCGCCCCACCACGACGGAACGGCTGGGAGGGGGCCGCTGGGGTCAGGGGTCGGCAGCTGCCTTTGCCTACTCAGATGCCCCACCCCAGGCAGGGCGGAACGATGGGGAGAGGCCAGAGTTTGCACGTGTGCCCCAGGGTCACCCTGGCGGGCGCTGCTTAACCAAAACAACAGCACAAGGAACTGAAAGACTGGAGGCAGCAGGGGGGCAGGGAGGGGGGGACTAGTGCTCCCCAAGCCCATCCCTGTACCCCTGGGGGTCTTTCGTGACCAGCCGGCCCCTCCCCTTCCGGGGCCCTCGCTGACCGTGTGGCCTGGCATTTAGCAGAAAGCAACCTGGGTGTCCAGGTATCTTTCCCTGAGGACGTCTCTCCCTCCCAGCAAGGGTCAGAGCTGCCCGACGGGAGCCGGACCTGTTCTCTCTGCCTCCCTCGTGACACCCAGAACAGGCGCAGGAGACCAGGAGTACCTGGGGGACTTTGGGCCATGTGACAGTGGCCAGAAATACCCCAAGGCTGCCCGGGTGCCCATGGGGCTCTGACTCCCCCGTTCCCAGCCTCACGGCTGTCCCTGGAGATGCTGAGAGTGACAGCTTGAGAGTTTGATGTTCTTACATAAACGGGGAGGCAGTGAGAAGTCACCCACCTGCCGTGTCCCTCCGTTCCTGTTGGCACCCCCCCGTCTCTCCATCTGTGGCCCCCGCAGGCCCCGGGTTGCCAAGGAGCTGGCGGGCACAGGGGAGTGAGGGGGCTTTGTGGTGTGGGCAAACAGCTGTGGAGCCCAGACACCTACTAGGGCCTGGCCAGGATGGATTGTAATGGCAGTGCCAGCACCGGGTACCGGGCCACGGACATGAGCTTTGGGCAGCAGTCACCTTTTTGGGGCAGGAGTTTGTCTAGAACACGGGTGACCCCTTACCCCCGGGAGGTCGCAAAGACCAAACCGTGGTGATGTTTTCGTTAACAATGATGGCCTAACGAAGCCTTCCAGCTGCGCAGGCCCGACAGTGTACAGAACGCTGTAAACTGTGGACAAGCAGGATCCCGTTGGAGCCCCCCAACGTTCTGTGAAGCGGGCAGCACAGGCGGGGGGGGGTCCCCGCATTGTACTGACATGACAAAAAGGGGCCGTAATGGGGTTACGTAATTTGCATGAAAATCGCAGAGCCCGGAGTGGTGGGTGAGACGCGGATGACTCGGAGCTAAGAGCTCGGATTCGGTACTTAATAATAACTCGCTGTGACAATCTCAGAAAGAATCCAAATGTCAGAGCCAAATTAACCAGCAAAAGGACAGATGGAAGTGTTTCTTCCTCGCTTAGCTCAGTGTTGAAACACAGCCCTCTGGTTTTCACCTGCCTGGAGCATCTCAGCTGGTGGCAGAAGAGGGTGGGCGGGTGGGTGCGTGGGTGGGGAC